GGATGATTTGTATTATAACATGTTTAAGAATCAAAATATATATACAATTAACTACTTTTCAAACAGTTATTTACAAAACAAATAATAAAAACTGTTAGTCAAACCAAATATTAAAATTATATGTTGTCAACTAACCACTAATACAATCTGGTATTCGCTAATTATAAAAAAGAGCCCATATTTTTTTATTAAAAGAAATTATATTTTGCCCTCAAAAAAAATCTTTGAATTCTTATAATTTTTATATTTGAGACAATTTTTATATCTTTGGGATTAACATAACATAATCAAAGTTTAATAATTAATTTCATATATTAGATTCATTCATTGGTGACAATTTCATTAGACACCAGGACCCAATCCATTGTTGTATTTTAGAGAAATGCTGCGGTTCTTGTTACATTATCATCCCATCGCGTGTTTTTAACTGTTGAAAATACATGTAGTTAGTATAAGATGAATGATCCAATAGTTAAAACATCCGAGGAAATGGTACTGTAACGGAAAACCATAGGATTTCCCTATATTTTATTATGTTCAACTAAATTAAGGACCAAATAGATGGGACCGGTTTGGGTACCAACGTTTTTAGAATTATCATTAAGATCTAACTAATGGTAATTATAGTTTTGATTATCCGGAAATTTAGCCTGACATCAATTAAAAATAAATTAATTGGGTCGCGGGTTATCATATAAAGGATATAATTTGATTATATTATCACCACTATACCCTCAATTGAGGATCATGGCAAATTTGATCATTAATCTTTGTGAATCCTTTTATTTACTATGATCTTTTTATAAAATGAATGCCCATTATAGGATATATTTGAATTAAATACTATGTTAATGACATAATCAAAGTATCTTAAATTGATATATTTATTTGAATTTTGAAAACTGAAGTGTAATTTGATTTGTTATGAAAAATCCACTATTTTCCTTTATGCAGTTATTATTTGACTTTCTAACGTTTTAGATAGTTATATTTTTTCAATATGTGTACATATTTTTACACTGAAATGTATATGTGTAAACGAGTCAAGTTGCTTACTAATCAAGTTTTAACTCACTTTAGTTTAGGCCATAACTAGTTGAGTCCAGTCGAATTCGCGAGCGACTCGTTTCGTTAACGGCTTAATTCAATATAAATAAAAAACTTGACATTTCATAAAATAATTGTGTAATTTTTGCAAGAAAATACAAAATCCAAACAAAAAGTACGACATTCTACTAAAATGTTATACTTTAAAATACAATATAAATAAAAAAATATGAAATTTTCAATAATAAATATGCATTGCTTGTAAGAAATTGTACGATACAGATAACAAGTATAACATACTATAAAATAAATATATTATGGTTAGAGTTTAGACTAATGAGTTGTTACTTGTTAGGTAGTGTAATAACGATATTTATGCTGCACTTTTATAACTAGAAGAGTCTATAGTGGCAGTTGAGACGGGCCAGCCCAATAAAATGGGCTCCCCCGAAACAATAAGTCCTGTAATGGGCCAAGCCCAACATAACCGCCCGTCCTTCGGATAACGCGCTTTGTCCAATTATTGGCACGAATTCGTAAAAACCGTTGACTGTAAGCCCCCACAAATGACCTCGACTTTCTATTTATAATGTATAAAAGCTAACCGACAAATTTTCCCATGGACGATCTCCTATTGCCAAACTAAGGTACCACCTTCCTAGCACAGTGTACAACTGGCCAATGCTTTGCTCTCTCTGTCACTAACAAAAAATCGATTCTCCGTTCTTCGGTTCAAACATCGCGTCCGCCATTGAAGACTTTCCACATATAAAAGCTCATCACCATTGCCTATTTGGACTGTGGGCGACTACATATTTACTGTTCTTCACTGTTTTTTTGTAAATCGATGGGGAATTTTTCTCGTCAGATGAGGATTTCGTCAGCTCTGCTGAAGCGCCTGCAGTCGCGGCAGGGAGCTGCTGCTGCCGCCGGCGGGAATGCGGGTGGCGCTAGGTTGTTTACCACAACGGAGGGACACCGCCCTACGATAGTCCATAAGCGGAGCCTGGATATTCTCCACGATCCGTGGTTCAACAAGGTATGTTTTGAGTCGATTGCCATTTTTGAGATCTGTTGACGTGTTGTTTGGGGTCTGTACTAGTTGATTTTCTGGGAGTTGTGGAACCACCTGTGTGTTTCTGCGTTTGAGCTGGTTATGGATGCGTTGTTGGCCGGCACAAGGTTAGCTGTAGTGATTGCCTGGTGATAATGTAAATGATAAATTGTCTGGTTTTATGATGATAGTGGGGAGAGTATTGGGTGATGGGAAATTAAGTTCAATCTCAAACTTTATCTGGTGAATGAGAATGGATCAGATGAATGCAACTAGAAATATGTGGTCTAAACCGGAAAGAAAGTACAATTTCCAGCCTAGTCCATGTAACATGTTTCTCCTGTTCAAGGGAACAATGATGATCATTCAAGAGTTTTTTTGTGGGTATAATAAAGCCAACTTAACCTTATTCAAGTTCAATCGATCACTATTGTGTGCTTAGTTACTTGCCAGTAAAATATTTCCAACATCTTGGAACCCGGTTTGATTTATTTTATTTTATTTTTTGTTCCATGAATACAGGGAACTGCATTTTCGATGACAGAGCGTGACCGTCTTCACCTTCGCGGCTTACTGCCTCCAAACGTCATGTCTTCTGAACAACAGATTGAACGTTTTAGTAAGTACTCTTTAAGCACTTGATGACACAGTTTTGTTAGTTCAATACTCAATCTGACATGGGGTATTAATCCTATCCTTTAGTCAGGGGTAAAATAATATTGACAAATAAACTTGTGCATTTAACATGAAGTAGTTTTCCGTTCTAATAGGGGTAATGGCTATAATGGTTGTGCTTATAGTTGGATTTCAGCAAATACTAGTTGTAAGTTTTTGCCTTGTTCCAATTAGCAGGAACTTGTTGAGCTATTTTAGATACATTAAAGCGTTGGTGGTTACTCTCACTGGGTATTGAAGGATGGATCAAGTCCTTCAAGTTTATTGTGCATCTTAAGTTATTGCACTTTATTGAAATGGAAAGTGCCTGACTGCTAAAACACAATTACTTAAATTTATTACTTAAACTTTTGAGTTTCAATTGCTTATAGTAATATATTTCCTTTTGTTTAAACATCTTAGTGGCGGACTTGAAGAGGCTTCAACTAAGTGCTAGAGATGGTCCATCCGATCCATACAATTTGGCTAAATGGCGCATTCTGAACCGTTTGCATGATAGAAATGAGACAATGTATTATAAGGTTAGTAATGAAGTCCTTCAAGTCGTAATAAGCAGTTTTTCATATTCTACAGTGACGTTGAGGGTTGCCGTATGTGTTAATGGTGGATATAGTACTTAAAGTATAATTATTCCTAAAATAATATTGACCATTCTTCATCAAGCTGTTGTGCATTGTTCACGTGAACTTTTATACGACACTGTCATTATTTATTGTGCCACACACTTGAAGTTCATCCCTTGGATTCTACTTAGGACGTTGGGACTTGTCCTTGTGTAGTTGTGACCACTTTTCACATTAGTTAGTGCGGACTTATCTTTATATTCAACAGAATGATAAATCATTTGCATAAATTTGGTCAGAAAAGAGAAGTTTTAGACTTAGAGGTGAGATCAATTTACATGTGGCTTCCTGGTTTTAATAAACCTTCCTTGATGATGAAGTACTCCTTAAACTTAAAACTTTTTGATACAGACAGAAATGTGGACCAGTGTAAATGAATTGCTTTGCATGATGCATAAGATACACGTGAGATTTACTCTGTGCCATTAGCAGTCTGTTAATGGCCATCAATTAAATGTTTAAGTTGCTACATGCCTTCTTTTACTTTTGAGTTTTCTCTGTTGGAACTCAGGTAACCTTTTGCGTCTTTCAAAACAGTTTTTTTTGGAGATAATTATTTATTCTTATGATCTTGGTTGTACACCATATGATGAATAAGCTTTTCTAACCTCCTGCATTTCTCTTTGTTTTGGTCTTATATTTCAGGTTCTTATTGACAATATTGAGGAATATGCGCCTATAGTCTACACGCCTACTGTTGGTCTTGTATGTCAGAAGTACAGTGGCTTATTCAGGAGACCTAGGGGGATGTATTTTAGTGCAGCAGATCGTGGAGAAATGATGTCAATGGTTTACAACTGGCCAGCAGATCAGGTTTATATTGCTTTCGCTTCTGAGTCATTTTCCCACAGCAGATATTGAACATGATAGCAGTTATTGCACTGATTTCTTAGTGCGGATAACAAATTGCACATAGGCTTACTGCTATGTACCTTTTGATATATTACTATAAACTCTACTGCCATTGTAGTTAGTAGTTCTCGGTATGACTAAGTAAGATTAGATTTATCATTTTTGTTGAAATATTTATTTCAGAATTTCTCTCTTCTTAAGTTGATTGATTTTGATGCTAATACTTTTTTACGGTTTAGGTTGATATGATTGTTGTAACCGATGGAAGCAGAATATTGGGTCTTGGAGATCTCGGAGTTCAGGGAATTGGAATTGCAATTGGGAAATTGGATCTTTATGTTGCTGCTGCAGGGATAAACCCACAAAGGGTACTATCCTGTTCTTTTGACGTATAGCATTGCATGGACATGTTTTATGTGGCATATAGTTTAACCTTCGCTGCTGCCAAGTTCACCAACTTTTATGTAAAATCTTGAGGAATGACCAATGAATTGAAAAAACAGAAATATGAGGCAGTTTTGGAACTCTATAAGTGATGTTTTTTAGGAGCTAATCCATTAAATATTGAATGAGACTCTGTTCCGAAAAGAAAATAGCTAAGTGAAGGCAGGAAGCATTTTAGAGATCTTTTAAATGAGATTCCCGGTTCCAAAAAGAAAATTGCTAAATTAAGCCAGAAAGCATTTTAGAGACCTTTTTGATAGTTTCCCTGCAATAGGTTAGAATAAAGATAGTGTTTACATTTGCATTCACTAATGACGATGGATATTCCCTCTGCACAATTAATGCTGAAAGTATAAACTGAAACGTGGATTATGAGTTTGCTATAGTTTTCTTGTTCACTTTTCGTGGTTTTTAGCGTCTTGTCAATTTCTTCACATTGTATTTTAAGTTTGATAAGTTCTGTCGCGCAGCTCTTTTATTTGATTATGATTCTGGTCAGCTGTAAAAGAACTCACACCAGTTGATGGGCTTACTCATTTAACTGATGAATAACTCTGTGTTCTGTTGTTCCACTTTGCAGACCATGTACTTTCAGTCTTATCCTAATAATCCTATGAGTTTTATCAATTCCTGTAGGTACTCCCTGTCATGATTGACGTGGGAACAAACAATGAGCAGCTTTTGAAAGACCCTTTGTGTAAGTGTCTTACGATCATTTTATCTAGATCGGAAGCTCTTTAAGATTGTGAATTCTTTCATTTTGTTTCTCCTTTGCTTTAATATTATTGAATTTTGGGCAACCTAGCATTTTGTGTCTTCCTTTAATATTAATAATTGCGACTATTTTTACTCAGAGACATTGATATTGTGGTAAAGTTGTTGGATTAATATAGTGAGGTTTTAACTGCTGATATCTTGGTTGTTAAGTGCATTCATGAAGTTGGTACAGTGCAGTTATGCTGATAGTTGTGTATGTTGACAGATCAACAATTCTAATAATCACAAGAATTTCATAATATAATGTCATTGTCTTCAAAATTTATTATGATTTGAATTTGTTAAAAATTATTTGCAGATATTAGGAAGCGATTAGTCTAGCAATAGGGGCCTCTATACCCTCCCATATATGTGGCAAGCCATTCTGAAATAAAATATTTATTTTTCTCAAGTTTGTTGCTAGATCCTCTTCTCTTTCATTTGCTCTAATGATTCATCACAATGGTCTTGTTACTGTTCCTTCTGCAGATTTGGGATTGCAAGAGCATCGTCTTGATGGGGAGGAGTATCTTGCGGTTATAGATGAATTCATGGAAGCGGTTTTTACCCGTTGGCCTCATGTGATTGTCCAGGTACCACTTCAGTTGGTCATCACGTTCTGATTATATACTGCCTACCTATTAATTTGTAAGTAATAAAAATGATTATTTTGCTTTTGTTACTAACAAGCATATGATAAATGCAGTTTGAAGATTTTCAAAGTAAGTGGGCATTCAAATTGTTGCAGCGTTATAGGAACAACTACAGAATGTTCAATGATGATGTTCAGGTAAGGTAGCAATCTGCAATAATTTCACTTTACTATTTTGTGGATTGTAGATGCTATGTTATTGATGATTGTCCGGTCAATTTATTTTTCTATCATCTAGCACTGTCTTAGATCAGTAACTAGAGATGAAAGAGAAGAAGCACTCTTACCGGGTGGGGCCGATAGAAAGAAAGGACGGGTGGCCGTTCACATTTTGTACTTGGGTTATCTTGGACGATTGATGGGGTGCAGAATGTAGTTCAATTAATTATATCTGTCAAACAGACTAACACAAGTATTCTTTGTTAAGGATGTTCAGTAGTAAAACAGACACGTTAGTATGCAACTGTTGTTGCAGACAATGTTAGCATGCTATATTACAAGGAAACAAAACACTCCTTAACAACTGCATGGTATAAATCATTTATTTCCCCAACCTTAAAAAATATTAATCGCTTATGTGTGGGGTTGAATGCTGTATATACCTATCAGGGAACAGCAGGTGTTGCTCTTGCTGGTCTGTTAGGAGCTGTAAGAGCACAAGGAAGACCAATGATTGACTTCCCAAAGATGAAGACTGTAGTTGCTGGTGCTGGGAGGTATATTTTTTTGTAATTTTAATTGCCCCCATTTTATTTTGTTCAACATACAATTACAAATCATTAAAACTGTGATTGCAGTGCCGGAATAGGCGTTCTCAATGCTGCAAGGAAAACAATGGCGAGAATGCTTGGGGACACCGATATTGCTTTTGAAAGTGCGAGGAGTCAATTTTGGGTAGTTGATGCCAATGTGAGTTGATTGTTTATGATGCTTTCCAATAAAATTGCGATGTAAAGTGAGAAAAAATTATTTTACTTGATCACTAATTATGCCGGAACATCCTTCACAATTTGTTGTTTTCATCTTTAGACATTTAAAATTATTTTTCAACAGCTGCCAGTACTGAACGTTAAATGCTTATGTGATTAAGGGACTTATAACCGAAGCACGTGAAAACATTGATCCAGATGCTCGCCCATTTGCTAGGAAGGTCAAAGAAACTGAACGGCAAGGGCTGACAGAAGGGGCACATCTCGTAGATGTGGTCAGTATGCTAAACCTTCAATGCTTCTTTGGTATTGGATATCTGAACTATCAACTGTTACCGAGTGATCTATTCTTCTTCTGTAGCAAAATTTAAAAAATGCAGCTACTGCTTAAATAAGCCAATGGCTATTTCTTGAATCCTAAGTTAGTGCCAATATAAAATTTTTAAATACAACATTGAAAAGAGATGTCTAATTTAGTTACAAAATGAAATTTCAAAGTTGATATCTCAAACATGGAATAGTTACTGGTGGAATTTTCAAGCTTCCTTGGCTGATGATGAAACCTACTTGAATGTTCTTATTAGAGCTCTGCTTTATAGGAAAACCTTTTTGTACTTTTCGGATTTCTTATTTGGGAGAAAGCAAGTTTCACAATGTTTCACTCTATTTTCTGTGATTCAAATGGTACATTTGGCTGAATTCCATTATTTTAGTATTATTCTCTCACAAATAAACACCCACTGAGTTTTATGTCTTATTTACAATTATGCGATTCTAATCATTTAACAAGTCTGATTTCTCGTACCAATTTGTATTTGGGTTTAAAGTGATTGATATTTTGTTGCTTGAAATGAATTCGATTATGTCGAATCAGGTTCGGCAAATCAAACCCGATGTGCTTTTAGGATTGTCTGCTGTAGGAGGTTTGTTTTCCAAAGAGGTATGGAATCCATTTGTCTTTTTGATTTCTCCATCTTCCAATATTTAAAGACGTGTCTGGATTTATCACTTCCCCTTCTTTTACGTTCTCACATGTCCTTACAAAATTTGTAAGATGTTATCCAAACTGTTGTGTAATTGTCAGGTATTAGAAGCTCTGAAAGGTTCAACTTCCACAAGACCAGCAATTTTTCCAATGTCTAACCCCACAAAAAATGGTAATACTTATATTCGTTAAATATGTTACTTGAAATCATTGTCAACTGTTTTATTGAGAGACTTTGGGGTTTTGCTAGCTGAGTGCACTCCAGAGGAAGCATTTTCCATGGTTGGTGACCACATCATATTTGGAAGTGGAAGTCCATTTAACAATGTTGATTTAGGTACGTCAACACTGCCTAGTTTTCATTTTACTTAGTTTATTCTGATGTGTGCTAGTAAAAGCCCTCTTAAGACTTATGGCGAATGCTGATGCTAGAACTTGAGTAGACTCTAGAATTTTTCTTCCGAGTGAACTAAATCCAATGATATTGAGTATATGAACTGAAGAATGTATTGAGGTTTCCAATGATATTGAGAGGGACAATAAATAATAAACAAATCTGTTAACTAAACTGAGGAACAATTTAAAGTGTAATGCTATATAGTAGGTAAGCTTTTTGACAAAGATATTGAGAGGGGACTGTGTTAGAATATACACTTGTTGAGTTGTCCCATGCCGGGAAAATTAGGCTTATTTTCCCTTCTTACAAGTGAATATTCTAATACGCCCCCTCACTTGTGAGTCCTTAATAAGAAAGCCAAGCCCATATACAGAGTTGGGTGCCCAAGCCGTACTAGAAACAGACTCCTATAAACGGGTACATGAGGAAAACGGGTATGTCATTGCACGGTCTCAATAGAACCGGCTCTGATACTATGTAAGAAATGGGGAAAAACGGGTGCGGTCCCACACAGATGAAGCGCACCATAAGAGGAAAAACCCAGATGAACCCCAAGTGAGGTTTCATCCCAAAATCAATTGGTGGAAGGAGGAGTAGCCCATTAGACCTATAAATTGGGCCTATTTTCCCTACTCACAGGGAATATTCTAATAGACTGCACCTTTATATTTTGTAATGAGAATGAAAAATGTTATGCATTTCATTGTAGATGGATGGTGGATCCACTCAAATTGTTTAATGTTTTTTTTTTTTTTTTTTCATAATAATTATCCTTTCCCCCCAATAATGCACAGGAAATGGTCACATTGGCCACTGCAACCAAGCAAATAACATGTTTCTTTTCCCTGGGTAAGATTATGAAAACTCTCTTTCATGATGAACAAAAGAAATGATTGACATTGGGACTTCCTTTTTGATAATTTTTCTGGTACAAAATCCAGGATTGGGCTTGGAACACTTCTGTCGGGATCTAAAATTGTCTCAGATGGGATGCTACAAGCAGCAGCTGAATGGTACGTGTTATTTATGTTCAAAGTTTAAAAATATATTAATGCAGTGAAATTCTTTTCTAAATAGCATTTTGGGATTTTACACATCAAATCTTAACTGGATCATCACGTAATGCTTTGTAATTACAGCCTAGCCGCGTACATGACCGAGGAAGAAGTACTCCAAGGCATAATATATCCATCAATATCCAGGTAAACGTGAACAACATCATTGAAACACAGCTTTTACACTTGCACCAAACGGTTAATATTTTTTTACTGAAGCAAAAGTCGGAACTTTGAAAATCAGAATACGCGATATAACAAAGGAAGTAGCTGCAGCAGTCATTACAGAAGCCATAGAAGAGGATCTTGCAGAAGGATACCGCGAGATGGATGCCCGCGAATTGCACAAACTCAATCAGGTATTTGGAGCATTATGCAAATTTAACCCCTGGAAGTGTGCATTTATACAATATTTGTTATCAACGTTTTTAATTTCAACTTATGTTGTGATAATTTCATTTCTTGTCCTGAAATCCTTTAGTTTGATCGATATCTGCTACTTTATGTTCCGAATTTAATTTAATTTTTTTCATATGTTTTGCGTTTCAGGATGAAATTAGAACTTATGTACTGAACAACATGTGGAGTCCTGAATATCCAACCCTTGTTTACAAGAAGGATTGAAGTTCACTTTAGGGAAGCTGTATTTTCTTTTTTCCTCACAGTAAATTATTTTCACTCGCTGTATGCTAAAGAGTTATATAGCACAGGGTTTACTTGCGGTATTTTATTCATCTTTCATTTTTTTTGGGTACATTATCTGATTTGTGATATGAACTCCTGCAATGTGTGCGTATATAAAGGAATGTTTGCATGATTAGATTTACAGCGCATTGGCAGTGGACTTGTTACAAAATAATAATAATAATTTGTACCCGAAAAAAATAATAAAATAATAATAATAATAATAATGAATTAGTTTACAAACTTGGTAAATAGCCGTTTCTGACCTGCTGTATGTCTATTTCATTTTCCCCGTTTTATTATTTATTTGTTTATTTGTTTTTCTAATAATTCATGTCTTTGAAAAAGTTGCACGACTCTTTGTAGAGAAAGGTGCTTCTCAAATAAAAGTTGAATTAATTAATGAGTGTAGACTGTCTAGCAGATTAGCAATTACATAGACCAGATGTTTTTGCATTAGAATAATTGTAACTAATTTTATTTAATTTTGGCCCATATATCAAAATTGGACCAAAGCATCAATGATCCGGTCTAAAGATTACAATAAAAAAGTACACTATTTTAAGAACAACATTTTACAAAAACTTGTGTTCGATTTGATGAACAAATATGGGCTGTTTAGGGGATGCTTGCATACAAATTTATCTAAACAAATTCAATAATTTTAGCTAGTCACTCGTTTTTACTCAAATCTAACTCAGTCTTAACTCTATCATACTATCTTCAATATTATGGGTATAATTAAATAATATCACTCAACCATTGTTACACATTACATCAATTTTAATTTATTATTCATCCACTCACATAATTTTAACTAACAAATCACTTTACATAATCTTTCTCGTTACTTTTACATCAAACTAACTTTATTTATTTTATTTTAAATATTATTTTAATATACACTCAAAATCCAACTAACTGACCATACCACTTCTCCCCCAAGTTAACCATACCAAACAAAAAAATTCAAACAAAATAAATTTATGTTTTAATCAAGAACATAATACGTTTTGATTATAATTATATTAAAATAAATTGAATAATATAAAAATCGAAATGAATAAATAATTATTTGATATTGCGCCACTAAAAAGTATTTTTTTTTTTACTGTAACGCTATAATTGTTCTCATTCAACCAAAATAATGCAACAAGTACACGAAGGTTTAATGCCACCAAACATCAAATATTGCAGACATGAGCACCACACCTAGTGGCCTAAGGAAAGAATCGGAATAGCACACAAAGAAAATATTACATTTGCTAAATGCAGTAAAACTTACTGAATCGTTTATCAACCTCATTAGCCAATCTGAACAAAAACTAAAATCAAATACAACTAGTCACTAAACAAAAAAACCTAACTAGATGAACAAAGCACATCAAAAGGAGGTTCAATCTCGAAATTCATATAGTCTTGAATTTCATAATCTTAGATCATCTTTTCATGATTCATAAATCCTGAAAAGACCCACGAATTTCGTGCATTCTAGAGCAACCAGATGATGTACGTGGTCAATCATCGTATTTTGTCTTATAAAACATCCATATTAGAGCACGTCTTCTACTACCATTATTGAAGTTTACATAGTTATTCCGCAATCCATCCGATTTGAGTGGGATAATCTTTATACCATTCGTGTTCTGGAACGAGTACAAAAATTAAAAAAATAAATAAATAAAATAGGTGTTCTTCCGTTTCAATTTTTCCGCCTTCTCCTTATCCCACAAGCTTTCCAAATTGGATCCTCCTACGCACTCTTCTTTCAAGTAAGCTAGAAGCTACAAGTAGAATGCATGAGAAGAGCATTTTCAAAACGAAAAAAATAAAATAAAATAGAAATTCGAAAAAGTATGTCCAAATTAACTAATGAAATTTACACCATACTTATGAGAGGTTCGACTCTTACGCACAAATGTGGTGTACTCATCGGATTTTCATTTTTGAATAAATATATATATGTCGATCAAACGATAAAAAAATTAGTGACATTATACATCAAAGTAACTCGAATCTAACTCAATTTTATAATTTATTTTCTACTTATATGTTATGTTCGTCATTTATCCATTGAAGATGATCCATGGCCCCACCCCCACCACCGGCCCGCGCCAACCAAAACCCAACGGTGCATTTCATCCATCAACAATGACTCCAAAATTTCAAATTTCAAAATCCTCCATACGTTACTACCGTAAATATAAAATCATCACACTCAAAACACATGCATAGACAAAAAAGAAAGACTAAAAAATAATAAACTAAAAAGGAAAGGTACAACACCTCACAACGGTCCTTAACTCAACCCCACACAGCCTCAAGTGGACCGCGGTTCACCCAATAATTACCCATCCCCACCTTCCGCAAATCACACTCCACATTTTGTTTTCCACAGTTTTTCTACCGCAGTGTGTCTTAAAAACCGAATAAAATCGGTCCAAATTTCTCCTATATTCTCTCTTCCCAGTATACTCGCCGTCAATCTCAATTCCAAACCAGCTGATCATCAACTGTTATTCGCTTCAACCTTTTATTTTTTGGCTGCTAGTACCATTTTTTGATTAGTTCAAGCTTGGCAGGCGGGGGTTTATCCATCTGTTGAGTTAGATCTGTGCCGTAATTGGTTCGATTTTTTATTTTGTTGGCTGAATATTTGAGGAGGGGAAGCAGATGGCGACGATGGAGAGTTTGATTGGGCTGGTGAACAGGATACAGAGGGCTTGCACGGCCCTCGGAGACTACGGCGGCGGCGACCAGGCCTTTTCCTCTCTGTGGGATGCGCTCCCCTCCGTTGCCGTCGTCGGTGGCCAGGTCAGCATCCGGGTCTCAGTTGGTCTGTGAGGATTTTTTTTTAGTTTAAAAATTTTAACAGTTGCTGGTTTTGTTGGTTCAAGTGCGATTGTGAAACGAGCAGATCCGGGTAGATTATGTGGTGGGTTGCAGCGTTTTAGTGTGGATGGTGATTAGGTTGTGGGATCAGGGAGTGTGGCAGCGATTTTTTTATTGATTTATTCATTTCGCAATGTTATGCATACAGATACATGAGAAAAGATGCGATTTTTTGGGCTTTTTTTTAGTTAAATAATGTTGGCTAACTCTTATTTGTATGTTTGGTTCTGTATATAGAGTTCGGGAAAGTCATCAGTGTTGGAGAGTATTGTAGGGCGTGATTTTCTTCCCCGAGGCTCTGGTTAGTCCTTGAATTCATGTTATAATAAATATTTATGTATTTTGCGAATATTATGCAGAGTTGGTTGATCATCTGCTCTTCTTGATGTTTACATTTTCTTCGGTTGTTGGTTTTAGGAATTGTTACTAGGCGCCCGTTAGTATTGCAACTGCAGAAAACAGAAGATGGGCAGCAGGAATATGCAGAATTTGGGCATATGCCTCGTAGACGATTTAGTGATTTTGGTATGTGTTAGACGAGCTACGTTAGTGCTAAGAACATGAATGAGTGTGAATCTCCGAAAATTTGATCTTTGATACTTGATGTCCTTTTCTCTTTTGTGAAAATGCATGAGGCACTCAATTCTAAAGTTAGTTTTATTTCTAATGCTTAATGCAGCCTTGGTTCGTAAGGAAATTCAAGATGAAACTGATAGAATTACGGGAAAGTCAAAACAAATCTCTCCTGTTCCTATTCACCTGAGTATCTATTCGCCTAATGGTATATTATTTTTGGAGCTAATTTTTGTTCAATGAATTTCAAAATCTGTTCTCCCTCGCATCAAGAGTTTTCTGATGCTGAGTTGTTGAGATGTCCCTTGCAGTTGTCAATTTGACTCTGATTGATCTTCCTGGGTTGACAAAAGTTGCTGTTGGTAAGTTTGTATTAGTTATCGATTGTTCGATAGATTCTTGATATGTTGGAATTTTTATTCAACGCAAAGACGATAAATTTTCTGCAGAGGGGCAGCCTGAAAGTATAGTCGAGGACATTGAAAATATGGTTCGCTCATATGTTGAGAAGGTACACAAAAACTATTATTATGTATTTATCATATTACTCTGATTTTGTTCCCTTCACTTCACTTGTTTAGATATATCAAGTTGTAGATGGTTCCTTTAACTTTGTATGTCAAAATTGATCCAATATGCAGCCCAACTGCATCATCCTGGCAATATCTCCAGCAAACCAGGACATTGCCACTTCGGATGCAATTAAACTTGCAAGGGAAGTTGACCCATCAGGTAAATTTCTTCTACATTGGTAAATTGAGAGCATGAATATAAAATACTGTATGGTGCCATTTTCTGACAATTGTGACACTTAATAAAGGTGAACGCACATTTGGGGTGCTGACAAAACTTGATCTGATGGATAGGGGAACTAATGCACTGGATGTAACGCTCTCTATCCCTCATCTCACCTTCTTTAATCTTTTCTTTTCTGTATATTTGAATATTAGAATCACGCAAATTAATTTCCTATTTTTCTTTTATCTAATTTCATTAGGTTCTAGAAGGAAGATCCTACCGCTTACAGCACCCTTGGGTGGGTATCGTAAATCGTTCCCAGGCCGATATCAACAAAAATGTTGATATGATTGCTGCTAGGCGAAAGGAGCGTGAGTATTTTGCCACAAGTCCAGACTATGGACACTTGTCTAGTAAGATGGGTTCGGAATATCTTGCAAAACTGCTCTCTAGGGTACTTCTTTTCTTTCCTTTGTTTTTTCTTCTTTCTTTGGCAAAGCCGCAATGGTGTAATTGTTACACTTCCTGCAGTCTTACTTTAGCTTATTATTTGAATACTGTCTTTCAGCATTTGGAATCTGTAATTAAGGCAAGAATACCAAGTATCACCTCATTAATTAACAAGAGCATTGATGAACTTGAATCTGAGCTAGACCACCTTGGAAGGCCTATTGCTGTTGATGCTGGGGTGAGCTTCTTGCCTTCCTAGATCCTAAGCATAATACTGACAATGTGTAATCTTGTTGGTAACGATGACTGTCTTTTCAGGCTCAATTATATACCATCTTGGAACTTTGCCGTGCTTTTGACAAGATATTTAAGGAGCATTTGGATGGAGGGTAATTCTTTCTTTTTATACCATTTTGGAGACATTTTTCTTAGTCTAAATTGATTCTTATAATTATCTGATTCGTCATTGCACTACACCCCAAATTGACCTGCACATCATTTTTCATTTTGAGTCGTGTCATGATTGATCTTAACAATCATGCTTTTCTTCAGGCACTTTGCTAAATTGTACATTTGATTTTTTGTTTCTTAAGTTTTTTTGAATTGGATAAAAGACACTTTCTGGCCCGTATCGTACATGGTATCAGTTATGATTGTAAATTAGGCTTGTCTATGGTTAAATTCTAATCAACTTCACAATCGTTTCATTTTCAGCCGACCTGGAGGGGATCGAATTTATGGAGTTTTTGACAATCAGCTGCCCGCTGCTTTGAGAAAACTTCCATTTGATCGACACCTTTCGGTGCAAAATGTGAGAAAAATTGTTTCAGAAGCTGATGGTTATCAGCCACACTTAATTGCTCCTGAGCAAGGCTATCGCCGGCTTATTGAAGGGTCACTAAATTATTTTAGAGGCCCTGCTGAAGCTTCAGTGGATGCTGTAAGTAGCCTGATTTAGGGACCATATTTTTTTATAATATTGTAAATCTCAATACTATATTTGTCATGACCTACCAAAAAATGTTGTCCAGGTCCACTTTGTACTCAAGGAGCTTGTGAGGAAGTCAATTGGAGAGTGTCAGGTGAGTATTATTATTCTTTACAGGCTGTGATTTTCTGTGACTTTGTTTTTTCATATTTAATTCTCTAATATTATTTTATTATTACTTCAATGGTGTAACAGGAACTGAAACGATTTCCAACTTTGCAATCAACTATAGCTGGAGCTGCTAATGAAGCTTTGGAAAGGTTTCGTGAGGAGAGCAAGAAAACGGTGGTTAGATTGGTCGACATGGAGTCTTCATATCTGACTGTTGATTTCTTCCGGAAACTTCCTCAGGAAGTTGAGAAAATGGGACCACCCGGGGGAAATCCACGTGATCATTCTCCGGCCGCCTCGAATGTTGACCGCTATGCAGAAACACACTTCAGGCGGATCGGTTCGAACGTCTCGTCTTACATAAATATGGTCTCGGATACTCTGAGGAACACTATTCCCAAGGCGGTAGTTTACTGTCAAGTCAAGGAAGCCAAACAGAATTTGCTCAATTATTTTTACACTCAAATTGGGAAAAGAGAGGTATGTATAGAAATCAGTTTTCTTTCAAGTAACGACTGCAAGCAAACACAGCTGCCTGAAATTGTGAAATTACTCTTATGGTTTTATGTTGATTTTATAGATAATTTCAAGTACAAAATGAACACGACCCTGTTTTTTTTTTTTTTTTTCCTTTTTTTTAATTACACCAAATAATGAAAATGAATAAATTGTTTTCAAAGTTTACATTATGGTTTGTGTAATAATGCAGGGCAAGCAACTTGTGGAACTGTTGGATGAGGACCCTGCATTGATGGAGAGGAGGCAGCAATGTGCCAAAAGGCTCGAACTATATAAGAAAGCAAGGGACGAGGTTGACTCTGTGGCTTGGGTTCGTTGATTTTGACGTGCGTGTGTGTGTGTGAGGATCCTTTTGTACTATGTAATATAGTATTACTATAGGCTTGTAAAACAGTGGATTTTCGAATCTTGGATTCTTTAATTGAGAACACTGGTTTGTTACCTGATATATATTATTTTATGTGTTACATTTCTCGGCGTGTTGCCCCCCATTTTGCTTATCTCTGGTATTTTCATGCTACACTCATGTTGTAAATTTCAGACTTTGATGAGTTTTACACCAGTGTACTATTGTTAATGTGATTTGTTGAATACTTGGATTGGTTCAATTTGTAGAATGAAAATATGAAATGTGGCAGATGGTTTTATTGTATCAATTGATGGCTGCTGGTTTTTGGGATTTTAAGTCCATTTTGCACGGGTTTGGTTATTGGGCCTATCGGGCGGTTGCTGGTTTTGGGCTTTTAAGTCCATTTTGCATGGGATGAATGGCATGATAGGTCAGGTATGAGCTTATTTTTTCGGGCCTTTCACACGTTTGTTATGCCATTCGAAATAAAGGCGTACACAAGTTATTTATAAGCTAAAAAGTAATATAATTTGGAAACCAAAACAAAAATTAAACTATAAGTCAACAATTCTTAACAATAGTATTATATGTATTATTATTTAAAAAAATTAAATGTGCTAATAAGAAGGGATTATGTTGAATACCGTAATTTTTTTCCATTATTTGTGAAATTTTATATGGGATGGGTAAACATCGCAATATTGTCATTATAGCGCATACATAAACATACGCCCAATACATAAACATGCATCTGATGCATAATCATACATATCCACACGAGTGTGTTGATTAACGGTTAAAAAAACTCAACGACTGCATTGAAATGTTCCCACAGTAAGTCAATAACGACAATATTATATACACAAGAGCGCTTGGATGAGATGACTTGAGTCTCTTCCAGCTTAACCAGTGGTCTCGTGTTCGAGCGCTGTGAATGCAGCAGTGTACCCCTTATTGTTTTTATTTAAAAGAATTATAATTTTTTTTTCATATTACAAAAAAAAATGAAGATTATAACAAAATTGTAAAATTTTATTAAAAAAATTGACAATAGTAAATAAATAAGTCATGTTCAATCCTTGTAAAAAAAGACGAAAAAATATAAACATGATTTTAAACTCATTTTCATATTAATCGTATGTTTAATTTTATTGTAATCTCAAATAATCAACTCGTTTGTTGTAAAAATATTAAATAATATTATTTTTAATATATATATATATATAATACTCAAATAAACAACAAATTAAAACTCACATTAAAAATGGATATTTCAATCACTATTTTAAATACCGTACTATAGCGTCCGGTAATATCGAATACGGCCATTAGTACAGTATAATAACACTCAAAATACCAGATTTATGGTTATACCGATTTGTACCGACATCATACTATAAAAACCGCAATGCCTTATAATGATGATAGCTTATATATTAAATTATATGCATACAAGTAATTTTTCATATTCAAGTAAAAAGTCAAAAAATATATTGATCTGTCTAATAAAAAAATGAGTGAACAGAATATTTAAAAATAAAAAATATTTATTTATTTACCAATATTGTAAACTAATCTCATCATTATAACTTCACATTTTCTTTCTTTTTTTTTTTAGAAAAAAACTACATTTAATTATGTGAAAATAAAAAAACTTGGTGAGCCAATGATCTCTATCCTTATCCCTGTGAGCCAATGATTTTAGTTTATTTAATTAAAAACAACATTTTTGTTATTGTTAGTAAAAAATTGACATGTGGGTCAAATGGTTATATGTAATGGGGAACACAATGAAAAGGAATATAAATCAATTACAAATTTATCTTCTCTCTCTTTCGTCATTCTCTCTTTCTCTCTACCACTCATTCTCTCTCTATTCTACTCTCAACTCATCTTCTTCCCCGTTAATTCTTCATAAAAATACAAAAAATTAGAAAAATATCACAAAAAAATGAAATCTTAAGCATCCACAACAAAATAGCAAAGAAGCACACAAGAAAAAATCTATTTTAATAGCCAATTGTATTTTTTTTTTTTTTTTGGTAATTTCTCCTTTAATTTTTCTAATAATTTGTGCCCCTCACCAAGTTTGGGCCCTGGGCGATCGCCCCACTGGCCCTGCCCCAGGGCCGGCTCTGCTTGTGGTCCTACCCGGCTCAATTCCGAATTAGTCGGTTCTCTTGTGGATCCGAAAACCGGAAGGTCACTATACCAAAAAATAAAATAACGATAATATTATTGTATTTATACGCTTTAGAGTGTTAATATTATTGTATTTGTACGCATTTTGAATTTATCATATAGTTTTTGATTTGACAGATGGTGAGTAGAGGCCCAAACCCGCGCCACTGTAAATAGAACGTAATATAGGACCTAAAAGGCAAATAAAACAGGTAAAATTCGGGCCGCCGCGCCTGTGAAATGGCGCGTGTGCGTGTGCGTGTGCCCCGCCGAGCTCAGCCATGGCTTCCCGCCAACTTCATCGGTAAGCTCGCTTTTCTCGACGAACCTCAGATTTCGTTTGATATTATTATTATTATTATTATTATTATTATTATTATTATTATTATTATTATTATTATTATTATTATTATTATTATTATTATTATTATTATTAGTATTATTATTATTATTATTTTTCCTGCTGGAAGAAAAGAGAGGTGTTTCCCTTTTGTCTGAGCTCAAAGTTAATTAGTTTTGTGCTTTTGATGTTTGCTTGAATATGAACATGATTTGGCGATTAATATTTCATTTTCTTTTGCATTCAATATCTGTTGGTTTATTCTGTTCCTATGATCTGTTTGTTTGAACTGTGATTTTGTGGAAGGATACTTATGATTGTGAAGATATTGTGAGGGAATGTGATTGATCACACAATAAGTACATACATTCAGTTTTGTGATTTTGTGTGCCTAAATATTCTTCTTATTTAAGATTTGGTTTCATGTAGGAGCATGAAAATCGAAAAGGATATAACACTTACATTATCTGTAGAAATGTTTTTTTGTTCTTTCTTCTTTTTACCAGAAAAATATGAATAGTTTCCGAGGTAATTACGAGGCAAATATAAACATAAGAGCAAGAATATAAACATTTTAGATACATTACATTAATTTATTAAACCATTATGGTTAGTGTGCTTCGTGATCACAAAATTCACATTATATATGGTGGGTAGAACGTAACTTGACCGAAGAAGTAAAAATCTTACACAAGTCGAATATAATATATAAATATTTTCTTCTACAAGTTTAGATATAAATCAACTTTGCCAACTTTTTCTCAAGCCATATAACTTAGAAGTGATCAGTAGTTATTCTTGATTCTCCGAGTACAGTCCACCCACCAAATGATTGCAACAAGAATTAATATCCGAATTCGCTGTTCCAAAACAAAGTGCGACTCTAATTTAACTTTGAGTCCGTGACGTTTGTGAGAGGACGGAACCCATGCTTAATGCTGGATAGCCAAATTTTTCCAATGTCGAACATCATATTTCCACACTCATGCACGTCCCATCCTTCCATGCCGTGCAGTATTCCAGCTATGCGCCACGCGCTCATCACTCTTCTTGGTAACCAATTCTGTCGTGCATTGATAGAAAAGAAATTTTAGTGATTAATATATATATATATAGTAAAGCAGATTAGAAGGGCTGTAAAAGGACTTGTAGGTGTACAATGATATGCATGCCATTACTGCTGTAACTATCCGTGTTGCTAATGAAAACTAGACCTCCTATTAATTAAGTACAAGCTACAGTTTGCTGGTGTAAAAGATAATGATTAAATTGGGTTAATTGCGAAAATTGTCCATGTCGTTTAGCCTAATTACAAAAAGCTCTTTTACCGTTGAAAATCACAAATAAGTCCCGGGCCTCTACATTTGTTTGTCTTAAATTTAAATACATATCTCAGTGATAGTATTAATGAGGCTTGTAAATTCTTGTTATTCAGGTGCCGTCAGAATCTTGTGCATTGTTATCATGGAAGCACAATGCACTAGTCGAGATGTAAATATCTTTTTATTTTCAGAAGAATATTAGTAATGGAATAACTGTGGAGCGTTTTATTCCTAACCTCGCAAGAGTCGACATTCTCCAGGTGCTTGGGAGCCAACATAGCTGGTGTGCTGTTGTAGTGGCAGTTCTTGCGCATCTTCTTTGGAGGAAATGGTGAGAACGGGATAAAGACAGTTCCTTTTGGTGCTTTTAGCTGTTCTTCATCACTCAGTCCATCTCCCACTAGCCATGTCTGAACAAGCATCAGCTTACTATTAGCATATGTACCTCCACATAAAACCAAAGTTTATGTTGACCCCAAAAATGTCACATGGTGGATGTTACTCTCGTTATCATAAGACAGAATGAAAGAGTTCTGTTACAGGGTTTTTGTTGAAGCCGCTACATTTTTCCTTTTGGAATGTTGTTTGCAAGTTTGTGATGTTTTTACCAAAATTTCAAGTATCCTATGGTTGTCACAGGAGTTGATACATCCTAGCTCATGGTGATTGAAAAAACTTTATTTACCTGAGGAGAACTGTTTTTGGAGAGTACCAATTTTTCTCCGGCTTCCTCACTTAGCTTTGCTTTAAGTTTATTGTACTCATCCTCACACATTGCGTGCACCTGTAGTGATTACAAAGGAGCATGTTTTTATCGATAAAATGTATCTTGAATAATTTTCATTGGTTCTATTATTACTATTTCTAAACTTACCTGGATACCTCCTTGGCATAGGGCAAGGGCAATGGAATAAGCAACCTTTGACAGGTTCCCTCGAAGGACGACCTGAGTTGTTCCTTTCGGGATGCTATTGAGCACGATAGCTACGGCTAAACTGCTTCCGTCCACCAGCTTCACTTTTAGCTTAGGGTTCCTTCTCAAGAAAAGCTCACCGTTCTTATTAAGGCCCTCTTCCTGCATCAGATGATTGAAAAATGTAATTTACCTCTATTTCGATGCAAAAATTTTGTCAGTCGTTTTGGGATTGTTACTCGTTACTTGCCTGATTCAATAATCCCAAGCTCAACACTTTAGCTCCCTTGCTCTCGGCTTCTAATATGCTGTCCTCGATCATTGTATTTATTGATTCTCTCTGCCACTGCATGTAGTACTGCAAAAGACGTGAAACTAGCATCACTAGCGGTTCCTTGAAAATATTACAATCACTTTAATATCTTTATAAACATGAAGGTGGATTTGAAATTATTTTTTATGGAGGGACAAATGAGACAGAACTGAGGTCACAAAGGGTTCTGTTGTAATTTGAAAGCTTTCTGAGTAATGTTGTAAGTACCCCAAACATCTGTAATGTTTGTATTTATCCTTTCCTGCATAAATACTATCTCATTGATGGTGCTATTTGTTGAACAGAATCACATATCAGTGGATATTCATTGTATTCAATGTAGTTAGACTGCTTTTCCCTCCTTTTTTACCTGCACGCTGTATTTGGGAATGGCCCATGTCTGCAATTTTAATTGTTTGAAGACATTTCTCTCCACAGTAAAAGTGCGACCGTAAATCCAAGTGATCAACATTGACCAAACAGTTACAGGCCACATCAACCACAAGTACCACTTGGATTTGTGAGGCTGGGAAGCCAAGTACGCGAATCCGAGACGAAGATGGTATATGGATTCTGGAGTTGTGAGGTGAGTCAGATGCACCACATCAGGTTCTTCTTCCTTTCTAACAAGCGAGGTTTCATATAGCGACTCCGTAGTTTTGTCCATTGTGCCATACACGTAATCATAGAATGGCATGAAAAGTGAGTAATTTGTCCGAAACTGGGTGTGATGCAGTGAGTGGTACCTGTATAGCCAAATATGAAGTTATTTTGAATCATCAACCTCTAAGCCAAATGAATAAAAGCAAGATGCTTATTGTTCCTTTGTGATAGTGTATTATCTTTGTTGGTTAGGCTGTACATGATTTTTTTCAATGAATTTGTGACAGTGCTCATTGATTGTTACTTCAATACTGCAATAGTGGGTAAGGCTATAAATGTCACTAGTCGATGAGAATGGAAAGAGTGGTGAGGCTGCCTTAATTATGGGGGTAAAATAAATGCTCTATCTCATCTGCAAAATTTATTGCCTACATTACACAGATTGTATTTTTGGCAAAGTAGTAGGTATATGGGCAGTGGTTGGGCCAAATGTTGTGACCAAATTGTAGGGGTTATTTGTGGCTTATCTTTTGGGTCTTGGGAATGACTAAAATTTTTATTTATTTTTTTTTTAAATAAAAGAGGATCGATGGAAGCTATCTTTATTCAACCAAAACGAGGACCGTTGATCAACTACATAAAAACATTTATCAGAACTTCTTGAAATAAATGGAAGGGAGAATTACATAAACGTCCCCTTGTGGTTTTGTATTTTCAAGAATACCCGAAAAGTCAAATTACCAGAAAAGGCCAAAGTTTTCCTTGAAGTTATAGAAGTACTATGTAGTTAATCATACTAGTTTGAGATTAGGACATAAATTGAGACTTGGAGAATTTAAAGTTTATATAGGTTAAAGTACTTACGAAGGTGTGTACATGATGTACTTAAGGGGAGGAAATGCTGAAAAGAGCCATTTGGGGATGTGCTCAAAGTTGCAGTGGCCCATGTTGTTCATGAAGTCAATGTAAGTCAGATAACCAGCCATTGCAGTAATGGAAGCATTCTTCATGTACAAGGTCGTGAGCATCGGTATAGCAAAGAGCAGGAAGTAAGCAATATGCTCGGCAAACGGATGAATTACAGCTGTAGAATAATCGAATAACATGTTTGAGTGAGTCATAAACAGTAGTATCAGCAATAATCTGACTTGTCCAAAAGTATCAAGAACCTTTAGTAAAACTTATCAGACTGAATTTAAACTTCCTGCTGTATGTAAAACGAGTATTTGTAATTCCGAGAGATAAACTGGGGCCTTTTTGTAACTAGGCTAAACTTCAGGGGCCAACTGTTACATCTTCTGTTCACTCGTTCGACCATTTTTTAAAGCACTCAAAACATTATCCCTTTGTAGCATGATTTTTTTTTTTTTTGATAATGTTTGTTGAGGACCACCTGAGTAGATATGTTTTTAGAATATCACCTCTTTAACAAACTAATGGTTCTATCTTTGTCCATTTTTTATTTATGTATTTAATTTATATATGAGCTATTTGTTCCTTACATGTAATGGGCTCTGTGACGATGGACGAGTGGTGGTGCGAATGGTAGCGGGAGTAGAGGAAGTGGTGGTGCAAAGCCCTGTGCAGCCAGTAGTAAAGGAACTCGACGGGGCCCGCGTGTAATAAAATTGTCCAGACCACTCCATCCGTATTCCACAATGGAATGTATCGAGCCGACTCGATGTAAGCGATCCCCAAGTACATCAAGATCCCGTTAAGTATGATTTGATCATCCCTGAAAGATTATTCCCATATTCTTGAATTTACATCTAAAATTCCCCATTGAAAAAGCGAACAATGGCCTAAGGTGGCACATGCAGCTTTGCATTATTATAAACAGGTATAGTTGCCAAATAATTACAAAGAAGCTCGCATAAGTCTCAAAATTAAGAAAAATACTTGAGCTTGCCTGAAATTTGATCATATATTTTGCTAATGAAAAAGCGATATAAGTAACAGGGAAAGATGATACTCACTCTCTCTCTCTCTCTCTCTCTCTCTCTCTCTCTCTCTCTCTCTCTCTCTCTCTTTTCCTTTGTTAATTGGTCTTTTAAATTATCACTCATATATATGCATGTATACAACGTAAACATATTGAAAGATGAAAGATGATTTATTTTTATTTTTCTTTCAAGTGTCTTTCTGAAAATGTTGTGAAAGTTTGGAGTTGAAAAAAAAAAGAAGTGCGAGCATACCAATTTCTTTCTCTATCGACTTGCTCGAACTCGATTGTCTTGTCGACTATCCTATTATTCCCTTTGGCCGTACGATAACGAGAAAACGAGATCCAAATTTGGTTGTGCACCATTCTTGATAGCAGCATAGGTAATACGAGGAAGGGCGCTAAGTATCTTGCTTTATCATCCTTCACCAAGAACGAGTATGTGGAGTGTATTATCCCGGGAGCCAGCACAAGGTACTAAAATTAAACGAGGAAAAAAACAAAAGAATGTTTGTTTTAGTAGCTAAAACATCATTATCCATATCATGATGGTCACTAAGCATCTCATTTTTCTTTTTAGTCAACATCATAAGTGAGATATATGATGTTTTATGTTGCATAAAACTGTTTGCAAAACATTAAGAACAAGTTTCGTAAAACGTAAAGATTATCGTCTGAATCGAATAATGCAGGGGCGAGCAAGAGAGAAAGAGCTGCAAGAGGAGAAAGAAGAAAAAACACCTTGAAGTTCCCAAGCCATGTCCATGGCCATTCAGTAAGAATCCCTGGTTTAGAAGCCATCTCTTTTTTCTTTCTTTTTTTTTTTTCTTTCCCCTCTTACCAACTACTTATTTTTTTCCCTAACTTCACAATGCCTACTTGAAAATATGGTATATTTATATATACAAGGGAAGTGCTACGGTCCCGGTTACGGAACTATCCCGTCGAGAGTTTTAACCGTTAGATCATTTATCTTATACTAACTATATGTGTACGGGATGGTTCCGTAACGAGAGCATAGCATTTCCCTATATACAATAAGGGTGCATTTGCATAGTAGAAGTTATGATATAGGGTTCTCATTGAATGTGTATGCTACCTACCTTGCATGTGGCAGCTCTTGTCCTATACTAGTTTTGTCAAACATATTAATGCACTTGACATAGCTTGAGCCTTTTGAATTCTTACAAATTTTAGTACTTTGATTTACCCTGATTTTTTTTTTCTTTTCTTTTTTAAAGGTGATAAAAACCAAAACAGAAGTAATAATAGCAATTAGCACCTTTGAGATTAAACCTAATAATAGCAATTAGCAGATATTTATTTTATTTTTTTTTCATAGTTAGACTAAACATCATTAGCAGATATTTTGACCAAAATTTTGGGCAAGTGATGTAATTAGCTAACTAGAGTCTTAAATCAATTTCTCTCCACATTATTACTATTTTTAGGTCCCAGCAAACATAGACATATATGCATATTTAAACAGAGAACTTATAATGTAATAATTCTCTTACTTTTTCTTATTTTAATTTACACCACCAATAAAACATAATAATTGAATTCTTCTATTGGGAGTGTCATGCGTTTCGATTAGGCTGCTTTATGCTTGTCCTCCCTAGGATTACTACTGTGTAGCTGCTAGCTGCTTATTCTGGCTGTTACCGGTTGTCATCACTCATCTGCGTGTAAATATGTATTTTATTTATGAAATTATGTCGTTGGAAAAAAATGTGATATCAAACGAATTATGACTTACATTTTCACATTCTACATTTCAAACAAGAGTGATTATATTTTTACAAATAAGGTAGAAATTGCAAACATTACCATAAGTTTATTTAAATGATTTTTGTGTAGCCTACCTCTAAATTCTTCCACATCTATTAATATATAATAAGAATTAACTTAATTCACTTTTGGTAATTTTTTTCGCCAAAAGCATTAATTATTGCCTAAAAATAGCTAGCATTAATTACAATACATAATATGGAAGAAATCATAAAAATATTCTATGCAAAAATAATATAGAGACGACAGTTAATGTAAATTGAAGGCTAAATAAAAATTACCATATATAAAAAAAAATAATCTATATCTTTATCTATATAAAAGGATTTATCATTTTTCAAAAATGGTAGGTCAACCCTTTAGTCAATTCAGACATCATTAATTAATTTTCTTTAATGATAATCTTTTTTTTAATTACTTAATAATTGACGGAGGCCCCTTTTTTTGGGAAAAAATTGATTTTTTTAAATTACTTGATACTTCACGGAATAAGCGGCAAAATATAATATTATAACACAAATCGCGATAATGTAAAATTTTGTATGTGTAAGTAAAATATCAATTCTAATCGTTTTAATTTTTTTTTTTTTTTTTTACTAACGGATCATATCCGCTGGCTAATAACAAATTACAATACTATTGAGAGTTGATCATATTTTGCTCTCCGGTATTGATCTCCCATGATAGCATGGTGGAATTTTCTTGATTTGGAGAGCTGATCATATTGTGCACTATGGATATGACAAAATAATAAAATTCCAATAAATATAAATTTTTAGATAGGTTTTAAAAAAACAAATAATCTCTTATATGAAAGAATTTACTATTCAAACTACACATTATTCTAACTTAATTTTCAAATAAAAAACGCATTAATTGTCAATGACTGAGTAAATAGCCCGCAGATTAAGCTAACGAAATAAATAGTTTGGATTTTGCGCAATTTAAAATTTATCATTTATCAACTAAAACTGCACAAAAATTTCCTTTATTAGACAAAGGTTGCCGAAATAAGAACACACAAAATAAAAATGACAAGTGCAAATTGCATGAATATTAATGTAAAAGATATTTGCCATATTGAATATTTTTTTTCAATCATATCAATAATTGCACGAATATTACTGCTAAAAATACATATTTAATATTTTTTTTAAACATATAAAATAATTTTATAGTAATATTTAAAATTTATATGGAGCCAATTTAAAATTATTATTTAAGTTCCAACGGCACCCGTTCCTACGGATCCTAGGGGTCTATTTAAGAGTCATGGTCGTATTGTGTATTGACATGTTCATAAAGAAATCGATTTTAGTCACGATCAATTATGTTGTTGTTTTACGTGTTAGTAATAGATAAAAAAAAGTCAGGGTCAGTCCTTATCATGCGTTGACATGTTCTTAAATAAATTAGTTTTTAGTCACGACCAATTATATGTTTTGTTTTGCGTGTAAGTAATATATAAGTGGTTGAAAATATTAATTTGTGGGGATGACGAGTTGCTCTATTATCAAACAAATAATGTTGTGTACAATGAAGTTTTTAATAATATATTATTTTTTTCATGAGGAACATTATATTATTTGATATTTCTCTACGAATTATCACTATTTTTTTCATTAATACACTTCAATTGTATAATATTCTTTAAAATAAATGCAGTCCGTGCATTGCACGGGGTACATACTAGTTAGGATAAATATGACTCTAGTTATTGGGTTTTATCCGTTGAATCACAAGTGTGTGTCGATCGAACGGTAAAAAATTTGGTATGGTGGTTCGAAATTTTGCCACATTAGCTGTACTTTCTGGATATGGAGTACTTATCATTCATTATTTAAAGTAATCCATACCCTTTTTAGAAGTGCATTTATTAGTCTCACAAGACAAGACCAGGCAATAGAATGGGCTCTCATGGCCCATGGGCCACGTCAAAACTTTGAAGCATTTATCTCATTCATTACTTCTGTCAGCACCGGTTGAAAAAAATGATTATTATTTTTTTTTTTAACTACAAAATTATTTTTGTTGTAAATTAATGTAATAAAAAATACTCGTTTTCCGTGGAATTTTTTCATGTATAATGTGACCATATGTATTAATTTTTTGTATTTTTGTGTTTGTTAACAATCCATATAGATTTGTGTTTTATTCAAGTAGTTTAGAAAAATTTTAAATTGTGTAAGATTTCGTTAACTTAATTTATAAGCAACTTAATATTAGTTTTTTATAAATATGATAATATGATGTTGGGTAACTTAATTTATAAGCAACTTAATATTAGAAGTTTTAAAATTGTACTACATTTAGTTTTTTTAAAATATTTGGATAATTTATTTTATCATCCAATCATCTGTATTCGTTTGGGATTTCAAGTGATATATAAAGACTTTGAGATTTGAGATTTTTTAAATTTTTTGGATTTTGGAGAATTCCTCGTAAGTCTGGAGGTGAGATTTGAAGTAAGATTTTGTTTTTTTTTTTTTTAAGAAATTTCAGCAAACCTTAAAAAGTTTTAACAAATCATAGTATCAAATAAATTAAATACCTTAAAGTTTTGTAAGACTTTATAATCCCAAAATGAATACCTCAAGACTTGAGCATGATTGGATACAAATTCAATTCAAAAATTTCAATCATTTTTAACTCAACCACTTTTTTTTAATTCAACTTTAACTCAACCCACTATCATCAATATTATCAATATAATTAAATAATATCATTCAATCATTCTTATACACAACATCAACCTTAATTCACTATTCATCTACTCACGTAAATTTAACTAACCATCACATGATTCACATCATATCTTCTCTCTTTTACTTTTACATCAATTTAATTTTAATCATTTTATCTTAAATATTATTTTATTATATCCACTAACAACTAACCATACATACTTTTTCAAATTTAACCAACCCAAATAAAAAATCCAATCAAAACAAAAACAAATTTATATCCAAGCATGCTCCCCTTAATCTCAAATCTCAAAAAGTCTCTTGATAGCTGATAAGCAAGCTTATAGCTTGTAAGTAATTTTCGAGCTTATAACTTATCACTTATAGTTGAAAAGCTAGTTTATATAATAAATATGTTTAAAATTAGCTGATAAGCTAGCTGAAATAAAAAATCTAACGAACATATTTGAAAAGTACTCAAAAAAGCTTATGAGAAAAACTCAAACTTTTTAAAAAAGCTCATCCTAATCAAATAAGCCACAAGTTAGCTTATATGTCTACCAAACATAGCCTAAATATCACTCGAAATCCTATACGAATACACCATCTAAGATAAGATGTGTGTATGTGCATATTATTATTATTATTATTATTATTATTATTATTATTATTATTATTATTATTATTATTATTATTATTATTATTATTATTATTATTGTTGTTGTTGTTGTTGTTGTTGCTGGTGTCAAATTTCTAGAAAAAAATCGATGCTACATGTGGAGGCATTGCTCCCACATGCTTTTTTACCTTTGATTTCACACACACCCACATAGGTGTGAGCGTACGTAGATCAATGATAAAAAAAAACATGTTGGGGCATGGGTGTGACTTAGACATGGCCACGGGCGGCCCGGGCCCGGTACCGGTACCGGCACTATTCATGCCGGTTTATAGAACCGGACCGCGGCCAATCCGGTCCGGTTAAGGGTCACGGTTTTTTTTTT